GTCCATGGCCCATCTGCTGCAATGCATTGCAAGGAAAAGAACAACACACAAAATTAAAGCCAAAAATCTTGGCAACACCACCATTATTGGCAAGGAACCTTAAGAGATCAAATCAGCCCCCCACAATGTCCCACAGTATATCCCCATCGTGTATAGGGAACATCTCCCAATAATAACATCATCATTTCTGGTATTATCATCGGGAGATGTTCCCAATACTGTACTGTAGGACATTGTGGGGGGCTGATTTGAACTCGAACCTTAGAGTATAATAGGAGGGTGCTGCCTTGATTTGATTACCAAATAAATTAATGATAATGTCTTGATAAAAGGGGATTCAAAACTTAACATTAATGCTGTATTTGCTTGCATTATTTGCACCGATAGTAGTGTAAATTCTAATTTATTTTTGCTTCAAATTTTATTTTATCAAGTTGATTATAGTACAAATGAAGTAAAATGAGACCAGAATAAAATAAAACCGAAAGCAAAATTAAACTAAAATTTGCATTCTTTTCATTTGCACTTTCTCATGCATTTGTACTAATGCAAATAAAATTGTGCTGTAACCAAACACAGCCTATGAAAAAACAAAACTGTGAGTGAGGAACAAGACCCATATGCACTTCCTGCATCCCTTGATCTGATCTCAGTTGGTCTCGATTTTCCTGTAAATTTCAAAATTTTGATGCTTATAAAGAGCAGCCCTGGGCTGGGAATGGTAGGGCTAAGGCCGAGCTCATCCAAGCTAGCTAGGAAGAAGAATCTGACTGGACCAATATCTACGTCATGGGTAGAATTTGGATCTGCTCCTCACACAAACCCACAGCACGTATTAACCGCACATTTGCAAAGTTTTTAAAACYAATTCGAACAACAAATCGGTCAGGGTCCAGTTTTCGGGTTGAACAGTCCGACCGTTGAAGCAGAATCGACAGCCCATTCTTACAAAAAAATTAAAAAANTGTCAGTGATTTACTACCAATTCAACGGTTTTAGGGGAAATAACAGTTCTAGGGTAAAATGAAACCAGTCACCTGACCAGTTCTCGATTTTTCCGGTCTGACCRTSCAGTCGGATCCGGTTTTGAAAACCATACCTATTTGCATGTTGTTCATAGCAAATTTTTCYAATACACAGTAAAACGTGCTGYGAGATGGGTGTGAGGAGTAAATGTATACATAAATTAAATTCCGACGTGGAGTTTTCCTGGATTTTTATACTAATGTAATTTCATGTTTTTTAGTGTGAACTCTGAAAAGAAACTATATGGATTTATACCACACAACCAAACTGTTTGAATCCCATCACGAGCCAAACGGTCCCTAAGATGATTGTTATGTTAGAGAACATGCAAGAGCAAATGAAAGGAAACTTCAGCACCAAAATGGCTCCAACTGATAATTGCCATCGCAGTAGTAAGTCAAGTACATAATTGAATTTGTACATCTGAACTAGACCCGACTATCAGTTGATTGCAACCTTCTAACCTATCGGTGCTGATTTTTAGGATACTCAACAGCTTCTTCTTGTAATTAACCGACTGACTGTTGGCTCTAGTCCTGTTAATCACATAAATCATTATAGCCGCGGCTAATTCGGATGGACGATAACAGACAAATCTCGAATCAGTGACGACGGAGAGAAGAACGTGCTCAGACAATATACGCAATTCAGRTTGATAGCAGGTCTTTGCGTCAAGCTTTTCGATGAAGTGATTGATGAAGCAAATAGGAGTAACGGGATACATTTTCCACTTGAGTGTAGACAGCACAAGGAGCTCCATTCTCTGAACTGATTTTGGCTCAAACACATATCTCGCTTCCACAGCCTAAGAAAATCGAAATACAAGAAAAAAGTGAATCCATGAGAGTGTGTGTGAGAGAGAGAGAGAGATTTTGGTTTACTTACCTGCAAATCTAAGAGGAGGGGCACATGGGTCTCCTCCAATTTGGCAGCTAAAGAAAGGCAAGCCACAGCAATGAGCTGCATCATCCATGGTTTGTCTATCTGAATCTGAAGAGTGGAGAGAAATTGATCGAGGTAGCTGACTGATAAAACTAACGTGAGAGCAGAGAAGCTGTACTGACCACCAACCTTCAGTATCCACTCCACTGCGTTCCGGCGGGCAGACGTCAGAGAAACATCTGTTTCACAATTGTTGAGGGTGGGATCGGGATGAGTCTGTGCTTCCTTTGACAGGAGAAGGTGCAGCTCAATTTCTTCCCAGAACTGGTCGTGGTCCAATAAAAGGTTTCTTCCGATATTGTTATTCCGTTCATCCTCTTCTTTACAGTAGAGGTCATCCACAACAAAGCGATGACTTTGAGTGTTTTGT